GGTAATTGACAGGATACGGAATGGTACATTTTTTCACCATCAGTTTTCTGTCCGTCACGTGTTTGCTATATGGTAAGCGAACCCATTTAAACAGCCGCTAGATTTGGTTTGTGGTTGACTTTCCACAGCCGGTTTACTTGTCCATGAAGGGAAATTCACGTGAAACATCTCTGCTAAAGCCTAAGGAATTAGTTTTCCTGCAGTAAATAAACCAAAACACGGTATATAATTCACCACCCGGTTGTACTATTCGCAATACGTAGTAGATCCTGCAAAATCACCTTTGCCGCTCTGCAAAACACTGCAAGCTTTTCTCGACAGCGTCTGTCGAGGCGTCTCTGCAGAACTGAAAGGTGCTTGCATGAACACAGGCTTGACATCGAAAAACCGTGTTTCTAGAGAGGTGTTCAACCGCTGTATCCTTCAGCCTTGCAAAACATCACAGTCGCCTACATTCCATGTATTCATTTTGTTTCCAAGCTATTACACTTTGAACATCAAAACTGCAAGCCATCGGTCTGATTTATATGATATTTGTAAACACATGCATGCCTTTAATTAATGAAACATATTCCAATCGAATTATCTCAATGGGCTTGCGGATTTCACAGTGAACGAGGTGAAAATAAGTTAGTAATAGGATTTGATTTCTGACAACGAGGGAATCCTGCGCATCGAAATCAAAATGTTGATGAGTAGCTTAGTGATATTTCTTTCTCTTTTTAATTTTGTTTTTTAAAATAAATGCACGAGTCGATATGTGCTTAGCGAATACACAAACACACATTCAGTCTTCCGGGAGGACCTGACAAGTGATTCACTGTTGACACTAGACACAGTCGAACCGAAGGAGGCTAAATTGTACTATGCCTACTTACCACATCCAGAAAAACTAAGAAACGCGGCCTGGACAAAAAGAAGGTCGAGCAAGTGTAAAGAATGGGAAACTTTTATTCCGTCTCCCAAGCAGTGGTTCAGTCAAGGGAATGAATATCATGGAGTGTGATAAGATGTTCAAGAGGAAGCTCGACAGCGTCCTGCGAACAATGTGGTATGCAGATCTATCATGAATGAGATCTTCGAGTCTGTGGTGATGAGGCTCATACGGGAAATTACCCTCTGCCTCTAATTGAAGAACATTGAACATTGAACATACCAAAAACCTAAATAGAAAACATCAAGGATTTCGGTATATATAAAACATACATTGTTGAGTGGCTTGACCTGTTAGTCTTCGTCAAGCACGGTGAGGCTGCGTAGTCGCTGACTGGAACGGTACAGATCGATCAAGCATCTGAGCGATCATCTCATCCACACTTTGTTATCTCTTGTCAAAACTCGTGTAAAAGCATCGAGGACAAACTATCAGCCTCACGGTTCATCCACGGTGGATTTGCAGAAACATCACGCAATGCTTGTTAAAGGCACAACACTCATCTTCACCGGTTGTTTCAAATCAAGCAAAATGAGAATTACTGCGGATATTCCCAATAAATAAGACCATTACACCATCAACGACAAACAGGAATATGAGAACTCTCAAAGAGGAAAAAGAAACAGTTTGTTATTTAAACAGATCACGCCAACTGTCCATCACTCAGAATCAGCTGAGTGCAGTGTCTTTAATCCAATGATTTCTATCGACAACTTACCCAACACAGAGGTAGAAGAAGCGTAGTCTAGCAAACCGTCCACCGATAATATAGAGATGGTTTTAGGTTGAGAAAAACTAAGATATGCTGCTGGTCCGTGCGCTAAGAACCTAAAATGAGTTCGTGACGTGCGTAAAGGTTCTATGGAATCCGCCACAATTGGATCAGCTCCTAACAACACATAACAAACAATGAGGAAGCTGTCACTGGGAGACGATACGCGAAACGGATACAGTGAGCCGTTTAGTGTTTTGGCCAGGTTATATAGTCACAATGGATTAGCTTGCTCCAACTGACTGCTACTCATGCCTTGCACCAATTTTCGTTGGGATAGTTGTTCATGCTTCTGTGATTGTATATGAAACTCCAGAGTAAGCATCATGTGCGAACGCATTAGCATATTTGCTGGATGGCCAGAAGACAACAAATTCGGATCGAATAATGATCGAGTGAGCTACTTGTTTTAGGTGAATACAAATCCAACGAACGGCTATTGTACTTAATCTACATGGACAAAGGCGAGTACTATTTTCAGATGAAAATAGATAATCGTTTTTTTTGTTGGAATCAATTAAGGAAGACCACATTTGCTCTGGAATATGAAGATCAGAATGTCTCACTGGTTAATTGAGCCTGCGCGCGAGAAAAGTAAAACGTGTTGCGACGGCATAAAAGCCTGTACTTATTTTCCAAGATAGTGTACACGAAATATGCGACATCCAAGTACCGCGAGCAGGCTCAACCGGACGTTCAGACTCCGCTCGCCTGAATTTCTCATGTTTGGTTGGCGCCTCATGTGCTCAATTATTTGACAATCAGGTGAGGTGAAATGGTTCTTAACGTTGCAAAATGTTACAAATGTTACAAAATGCTATTTTTCACTGTTTAGCCGAAAGGACACAAACAATTGTTCGCTAAAATGGGATCCACAGATGAGGTTTGACTCTCAACAATCCACACAATACATGCCTCCAAATAATCATCTTGATGACCTTCATTGTTTGGTAATAGGTTAGATGAGCGACATGACAGAGAGAAAGAGACGGAGGGTTAAACCCTAACTGGTAGCATTTTTCAAATTGTCAGTCTTCAAAATGTCTAGCGAACGTGTGGGACCAGTGTGTTGGCCAGCCAGCCAGCCAGCCTTTCACTTACTAGGTACACGACAGTTCAAACGATTTCATGGATAGCTAATTCTCAGTTGGCCTCCTCCAGATAAATCTTTTCATTCATATTGTTCAGAAGACTATTTCAGTGCATCAGAATAAGAGCATTAGATAAATGGAGCCGATAGAGATCAGGGACAGTTTGAAACAAAAAGAAGGTTGCACACATATCCAGCCGGACATTCCAGCGGCCCAATATTTCGTGAGTGTCGATCAGAGAAGTCCGTTGTTAAAGCCAATTCATCTGATCCCGTGGTCGTGGCCGTGGTCGTGATCGGTTGGCTCTGATTAATGCAACTGATATTCAGGTCGATCGATCGATCTATCATCGATCGATTAACTGATTGATTCACCACACTAGTCAATGACCCAACACGGTCATTCAGAAGACCGGCCACATCAAGACATCTGCCTCAAAGTCACTGAATGACCGAAACAGTGGTACACTTTTGGAACCAAACAAAACACACATTTGCTACACAAGTGAAAATGATCGCGCAACTCTTGCCCTTGCCTTCACGATGAGTTTATTTAATACCTGTTACACCGTAACTGTACAAACGGTTCATCGGGAGTCATTTCAGGAAAACAGCAACCATCTGGCTGAGATAATTCACAAAGATTATTTATCCATATGACAACCACGCGTGATTTCACATTCAACTAGCTTCCATGTCAAATATTTGGTTCATATTCCGAAAATTTAGTATTTGACAACAAGTGAAACAAAAATTACATCTGAAGTTGGGTGATTGCAGATTTTTCAAGATAAAATTAGATAGTATCACGGACATTCAACATTATTTTGAAGTTCTAAGTTAAAAAATATATTTCAAAGGAGAGATTCGTCGTGTACATAGCAAATGAAGCTAGAACTGAAAAGCTGAAAAGCACTGCACAGCTGTTTCGACCTGGTTGGGTCTCATCAGCAATGCGAATCCATCGATGCAACTGTGGATCGAACCCAGGACCTCACAGGCAGAACCCAAACATGCTACCCACTCGACCACCGAGCAGGTCGAAACAGCTGTTTAGCGCCTCCTAGGTTTTTATTTTTAGCTTCTCGATAAATTTCTCCCTATAAGTTTAATCAGATCCTCCAATTACTCACATAAAAGATATATGGCAGTGGGGCCACTTGTAAAGCGAGAACAGAGTTTAATTTGCTGGTTTGAACTGCAGAAAGCCTAAATACACCATAGGAGGATCAGTAATGTAGTCATGTCGTGGACATGCTTTCCCACTTTCACGTATATGAATCTTCTCAAAACTATACGTGACAATGAACTGACATATTGCTTATGACAGGCATACTCGTGCAAGTTGGGCCTTCGAAGTATTCCACATTTTCAAACGTTTTGAGAGTAACACTTTCTTCATTTGAGCTACTATTACGGCATATGAAATTCATTTTACTGGAAAAATTTGTTGATAATATAATGAGTTAGACTGCTGTTCGTCTGGATTTAAACATGGGAGCGGTCGGATAGATTACAACTCTGATCGTACCCAACGCGCATTGACACACTGACATATTGAACAGCTCAATACGCTCTTTATGGTAAAGAAAGCTACGTGTTGACAAGTGCCATCAATCGTTAACTGCTGGTGGTAGTGAACTGGATCGTATCCCTCGCCTGGTCGTCTAAAAGTATGAACAGTACATTCATGTGGGTTCAAACAATGATTAATGAAATTTGGTTATGAAAAGGGTTGATTTCCCATTAAGTGTTTTACTTTGTATGTATACAGAATGAAGCTCCTATTCTTTTTATAGATATGTCATTCCCAGAAACTTCATTGGATAAAACTACACGATAAGCTTTGGCAACTGCGAAATGGTTCATCTGATGTTTGTTTTTCGCTTGGCTCGTTTTCAATCATACTCAAACCTTATCACGTTTAACCCTGAACTGCTTCCTGATAAACTTATTTGTCCAATAATGGTTTACAACAGATCTCGATAACTGTTTCCTTTACAGGTTTACGGGAGAAAACGCCACTCGCCTTGATCCCCATTGGTCAATTATTTGGCCAATTGGCATGCCAGAAAATTAGCGGGCATTGATTAGTCCATTCCCCTTTTGTATGCGAGATCCCACTAGGTTCGACAGCACTTTCATAGCATCTCACAGAGCTATTTTCCAGATTTCATGGACTAATTTTCTATAGGGCAAAAAACATGTCCACTAAACAGGGTCGAGGCGTTGTTGTGAAAAACAAGTTGAGGATTTTAAAACGAAACTACACAATGCATATTGATTATATTCCACCCAAATCACAAGATGGACCTCAGGTGAGTACATCATATTGTTCATCCCTTAAGACACATCAAAAATTTGATTCTAAATTGCTCAACCTTTTCCAGTCCTACACATGTTGTGATTTTGAATGTACAGATTGCACACGCTTTTGTGATTTCTACAGAACCGTTATCAGGGTGATAAAATCAAACCCCGTTTAGTGAATGAGAGAAGTAGTGGAGAGAATATACCTTCAAAAGGTCAATATAGATGTTCTAATGGACTGGATGTCCAGGTTCCTGCGGATTCCCGTCGTCACAGTTGAGGGCGCTGAGAGCACTTGTATTGGGTTTTTGTATATCGCATTGTACAAACTCCAAAGAACGGTTGTTTCAAACATCTCCTTTGTTCTCTTTTTTCGGCTACCTTGAATGGGTCCGAAATTACTTAGTTAATTGAGAAAAACCACAATTAATAATTTATATCATGTGTTTCCCAGAGTTAAACTAATGCAGAATAAGCGAGCAATTATTGCCGGAAGATTAGTGGTAAGGCTGTTCACGTTGAACAACATAAGACACCCACTACCACAACTACCACAACCACCACCACTATCAATATCCGGTGCGGTTTATCAAACAGTTTACAATTTGTTGAACAATGATGCCACGGTCGTTTTCATTTAAGACATGCAGCAAAAGTTGGCTTTTGAGAAACCACGGGAATTACCGCTTGGGACTAAAATACAGCAAAGAAAATGTGCTTAACGGACCACATTGATAATGAACTTCAATTCGCACAAAATGGTCAACCAGAACGATGTATCGATAGGATAATGTTAGATAACGAGTATATACCCAAAAGAGGTGTGAGAGGCATGAAAACGCAGTGCTGCTCTCTTCGACGACAGATCGGAAACGTGTTTCTAAATTGCTCAGCCTTTTCTAATCATAACATTGTTTTATTTTGGAATGCGTCATCATGCGAACATTTTCTGCTGTGTGCCGATTTGTTCGCATCAGACA